CAGGGACTTCCTCTGGTAAGTTCATTCGATCTTCACTCGATTATAACTCAGTTGCTACGATCTTCTGGATATCTTCGTCTTTTGTTTAACTAGAGACTTGTGTCTTGTTGTTAAATCAGGCCTATAATAATCAAAGTGGCTTTCTTGGTTTTTGTTGAATTTTAACTCAAAGTTCGTCGCCTCTATCCTTTGTGAATTGGTTGCTTAGTCTTAGTCTTGAGCACGCAAATACATGTAAAACATGTGTTGTTTGTATTGCAGGATTGTAATGAACCAGAATAAAGATAACGTTGAGCCGACAATAGAAGATGTTAGTCCATTCGAAAAGCTTCGAGAAGATCTCTTGATAGAGATATTGATCAGAGTTCCAATATCAGAGTGGGAACATGTATCTTCTGTTAGAAAACAGTGGGCGAGTTTGTTCCGAGGAGAATGCTTGTGGCATACTGCTCTTAACCGGACCTATCCTCTTGCTAGCAGAACTCAGAGATGGATTGGACCAATCCGGCAAGGATTAAGCAAACGGTTGATATCTATGAAAATGCTAGCTGAAAAATGTTGTGATCGAATACTCTCTATTATTTAGATTCAAGGAACTTAATAAGCCCTTTTAGCTGCAGGAGATTTGTGGCTTTATAGATCAGCAGAAACATGTTATTAGGTGTGGATACAGACGTAGATGAAATGCTCGGACATATTTACTTATTCTTGAAAGATCAGCTTGAGCTTTCTACTACGCCTTCTTCGGGTCTTCTGATCGGTAATTATGTTTCTTTCTTAGCTTGTTTGGTTTGCAATTAACCGCTTAGTCAGTGAATCCCAAATGTTCATTGCTAGTGACATTTTATCGATAATTCTTGTGGCAGACCAGTTGATTGTTAGTGACAAAGATTTGGCTGACTCTTCTCGATGATTTAGATGACACGAAACATACATTTTATCGTGCTTAAATCCATTGCGCAAGGGAATATGATAACAAGGAAGTTTTCATTAATCCTTTCTTGTAGAAAACTAACTAACTCTTCTAATAAACGCAGGGTTTTCTTCCGTATCCATATATGCAAGACCGATCAAAGTCCAATGGAAAGTGTTTGAGAAACTGTTTGTAGATTTCCGCGATACAGAGTACTACGATCATCTAATAGGAATCGCCAAGAAGAAGTTTCAAACAATACCATATCTTTGGTTAGGCTATTAAAACATAACTTAGCTGCTGCTTTGTGAATTGTGATGATGCGTTTTACACAAAAAGTCTGTATCTTGTAAGAAAGACGTCTAAAATGCATATTCTTGGCCATGTAAAATTCGTGTGGTTTATTTAGTTTCTAAAAGCAACAAAAAAACTCAAAAACTTATCAACGACTCTTTGTTGACTATTTTAACCACTTCGCTACTTACCAAAACATTGCTAAATCATTTCTTTCTTCTTCTTCGAAATGGCTCTTGCGAAACTCGTGACGATTCTCCTTCTCATCGTCTCTGTGTCACCGACCTTAGCGGAATCCAACGGTCGTGGACACATCTCTGTACTCGTCTCAAAAACTGGTCTTGAATTCGCGAAAGATTACCTTATCAACGAGGTGATATCTACGACGATTCCGCTTAAGCTACCAGACATCGAGAAGAAGGTTAAGATCCCTTTAATCGGGAAAGTTCGAATGGGTTTATCGAATATCCAGATTTACGCGGTTCATGTTCAGTCTTCGAAGATCGAGACTGGAGAAAACGGAATCGTTTTGAGTGTTTCAGGTGCTACCGCAGATTTGATCATGGATTGGTCTTATACCTATAAAGCTTCCTTCTTTCAGATTTCTGATCATGGAGATGCTTCTGTTAAGGTAGAATTTCGTTTTTCTTTTTGAAATGGGTTTTTGATTTTCGAAACCAAATTGGGTCTTTTTTGTGTTTCTTGTTTGTGTTCATCTCATTTTGTTCCTCTTCAAACATTCTTTCATCAGAAGAAGAAAAAAAGCTTAATTGGGTGATGCTTCTGATTCTGATGATGAAGGTTAATGGAATGGATGTGAAAGTCAGTGTCAATCTGTTTAATGATGATGGAAGTTTAAAGATTGCATTATTGGAAAGTGGTTGTACGGTGAAAAGCATTGGTATTCATATCAATGGTGGTGCTTCTTGGCTATATCAAGGGTATATATATATTGCTGAATACTCATTTACAGTTTTTTCTTTATCTCTTTGAAAAAGATGAAGAAATTTTGTTATTCTTTTTGTTTTGCAGAGTGGTTGATGCATTTCAGAAGACGATACTATCTACTGTTGAGAACACTGTCTCTAAGAGAATTGCTGAGAAGATGACAAAGCTTGATTCTTTATTGCAATCACTTCCTAAAGAGAGAAAGATCGATGACTCTGTTGCGGTGAATCTCACCTTTACAGGCAACCCTGTATTGGGTGATTCGTCGGTTGAAGCTGGAATTGATGGTTTATTCATGCCAAATGGTAATGATGTTAAAGTTTCAGGATCTCGGTCTTCGTTCTTCGGTAGCGAGGTTAACAGAATGGTGGCGATTTCATTAAAAGAAGAAGTTTTCAATTCCGCAACACTTGTCTACTTCAACGTAAGTTCCAAAAGTTCGATATATCTTTACGTTATCTTTACATTAAAGATTGATGAGTTTGGTGGAACAAATTTGTGTAAGCTTTTTGGATTGGTTTGATCAAGGCAAAGCGGATGCATATGGCTATCGGAGAATCGAGGAACGGGTCGGTTCTAAGCACATCCGACTGGAAACTCATCCTTCCACGACTGTACAAACAATATCCAGATGATAAAATGATGCTTAATATGTCGGTAACATCGCCTCCTGATGTTAAAATCACAGAGAATGGAATTGATACGACTATTCATTTAGAGATATCAATCAATGTTCAAGACTTTGGCAAAGTCCTATCCGTAGCACGCATATCATCGGTACGCTAACATTCTTGATCCACAGAACAGATCTACTTAAGAAGCAATCCATGATAAGTAAAAGCCATATTCTGATTCTTGTGTTGCAGGTTCTGAATGTTGCGTGTTCTGCAGAAATCGCAAAGAGCAATCTAACCGGTAGCCTCAGGCTAATAGATTTCAATGCAACAATGAAGTCCAGTAATATTGGAGAGCTTCAAACCAAATATATACAGGTAAAGTTAGTTAGTTAAGACTTAAGACTGAGACTCTTTTGCTTGTCACTGAACTGGATGATTCTTGCTCTTTGTTAGGCTGCGACATCGACGGTTCTTGAATCCTTGTTTTTGCCATATGTAAACACACGGCTCAAGAGAGGATTCCCGTTGCCTATTCCACACGGTTTCACTATCAAAAACGCAGAGATAGTCTTTGTTAAAAACGGGGTTATGGTCTGCACCGATATAGCTTCTTATTCTATATGAAGGGTCTCAAGTTGATTGATATACTTCTGAAGCTGTTGCTTATTTCACTATAAGCTGCGTTGTATGTAACAGCATTTATTTATTTCTTAGGTACTTCAAATTCCCTATGTTCTCTGTTTACATGTTGATATTTGTAACATTTATACACTTTAATGTGTATATGTAAATATATGTATAGTTGTGTTTCTGTGACCATGTAATTTAGTTTCTTTTTGGAATGAGTTTGCTTTTCCACAATATCATTTGTAACATTTTATCAACAGCTAATTAAAACGTAATTGATGATCTATATTTGGGCTTTATCAATAATGGGCTTACATTTCATATATATGGCCGAACTTCATTTCCTATACTTTTTTTAACAAAGCCCAAAACAAATTCATAGATTTATTTCTTCAAAAAAAAAAAATTATTTATTTATTTTATCTCTCTAG